AAAAAAAAAAAAAAAAAAAAAAAAAAAGAGTAGCAATGGAGGCCGACAGAATATCCCAGCTGCCAATACCTATACTTCACAACATAGTATGTTTCATCTCCCAGAAAGAAGCTGTGAGAACTTGTCTACTGTCCAAAAAATGGCGCCACATAGGATTAACCCGCCCCAACCTCGAATTTTTCGAAGAATGGTTCGACGACACAGAAGAAAAGTTTATCTCCGTCAAGTGCTCCATAGGATCAACTCTCCCCAACCTCAACTCTTCTTCTGAAAAATTGGTCAACATTACACAAGAAAAGTTTGTCCCTGTCGTCGACCGAACTCTACAACGTTGCAATGATCAAAACCGCTCCATACTGCACCGCATTCTCTCTTTCCTCCTCTGCAGGTCATGGCGCCACAAAGGATCAGGTCGCCTCAGCCTCGACTCTTCCGAAATATTGTTTAACACTACGCACCAAAACACTGTCTCTGTCAACTCCTTCCCCACAGGATCAACTCGCCCCAACCTCGAGTCTACCGAAATTTTATTCAACAGTACACCACAAGACTTTGTCTCCGTAGTCAACCGAACCCTACAAGGTTACCTTGATCAGAACCTCTCCATACACAAACTCCATCTCGACTTATCGAGGGCCGTCTCAAGACCGGTCATCTCCCTACTCGACAAATGGATCCCGATAATAGCCACGCTCGACATAAAAGTGTTTGAACTCAACTTTCTTTCATATACTCCTGCGTATTACGATCTGCCTTCGGCAGTGTTCTTAGCCGAGTCCCTCGAAGAATTACACCTGTACAAATGCAGGCTGAGCCCGATCGAGAGTGTGCGGTTCAAAAGTTTGCGCAAGCTCACCCTCAAACAGGTCCAAGTTGATGGCGGGACTTTCAACACGAAAATGTTGGGCTGCCCTTTGCTCAGGTGCCTGGTCCTTTATAGTTGTTGGGAGTTGATAAACGTTAGAGTGAGCGAGGAGGCATCGCTTGGGCTTAAGCACTTTGTATTGTGGGATTTTGCGAGGATCGAAGGGCGTAGCATCAAAATCGATGTCTCGAATCTCGAGACGATCTTTATCGATGGACCATGGATTTGGTGTCACCACCAAAGTGCATTCTCGTTCTCTCGTCTCACGAGATTGGATCTCTAAAGTGTGATCCTGTCGAGCGAGTCGTTCGACCTGTTCTCGTTCGGTTGCCCAACACTTGCGATCTTGACCCTAGATAATTGCTCCGGTTTCGAAGAATTCCATCTTGCAAGTGATTCAGTCAACTGGTTGAGAATCGCGACAAGCGAGACACCGCTTAAAGGAGTTACGATTTGTGCCCCGAACATTCTCAAATTTACGTTCACTGCCCGTATTCCCCAGGTGCCGGACACATTCTCTTTCACGACCACTACTTCCATGAAGTGGTTCTCACAAGTATTCTTCTCTTCGTGTGAGGATGATCCCGATTTTGACGCCAATTCGTGGTTCCTTGAGCTGAGACGATTGCTCAAGGCACTAAGTGGGTCTGATATTTCTCTGTATCTGGAGATGGGCGGCGGCCCTCAGGATGTCTCCTGTAGTGCTGTTCTCGGTGATGAGCTGCCTGTGGTAGTGTGGAGCTTGAAGTTTTATACTTGTAAATGCCGCACGGCGTCTTGGTACTTGGAGTTTGCGAATGCCTTGTTTCTTGTTTGCCGACCGAGTCGTGTATGGGGTGATAGACTTGTGAGCGAGTCAGACAGGAAGTACTACAGGCTCTCGGAGTTTCAGTTAAACATCTTGCTTGCGTACAAGAACGTCGATTTGGAGGAAGTTCACGTCGATGGGCAGCTCGTGCAGTGGACAGACATGTTGGAATTGCGAAACAAGACATATGACGAACAAATATGGCTCGAGTTGAAATGGAGAGGTCAGACAGGAAAGTATGGCTTCTGTTGAAATGGAGAGGTCAGACACCGGCATTATTACTATGCTCGCTTGCTTTTCTGTTTATTACTATACATCTCTGTTATACAAATGTTTAAATTTTTCTAATTGTTATGTGATCATTCAACTAATGAGTTTCTCATTCTATCCTGGTTTTTACCAAAAATAATAATAATAAAAAAAAAAAATAGTAGTCCTAAAGTCATACCTTGCGCAGCAAATTAATCTGACCGGTGGAATAATAGGCGTTTTGATAAAGTATACAACAAAAAAAATCCAGGTGGAAATTTTGTTAACACAAAATCAAATATGATTACAATAAACCAAATTCCTGAATATTCCTTCACATTGACCGGCGCCACGAATATGAAAGGAGTAACCGATTAAAAATTGTGAAAAACATAAAGCAAATAGAGTTAATAAAAAGAACTATAAATTGTATCTTATGATGTCGTGTCCTGTCCCATAATAGTGTGTTGCAGGCCTATTTCACGAGTTCCCTAAAATTGCCGGGATGGCGTTGCTATTTACACATTCCTTTGGCTGGCTTGTAAGCAAGCTGAGTTTGACTCTCGAGTACATGAGTCGAGTCGAGCTCCACTCATTTATCAATATTAACGAGTCGACTCGAGCCATAATAAGTTGAATTTCAAAATATTATTTAAAAATTTTATTTTCAAACTTTATTGAGCCAAACCAACTCGTTAAATAAACTAGTTTTCAATGAGCTCGAGCTCAACAAACAGTTGGCCGCATTTAAGGGTTGTAATATATGCCTGTTTCAATAACAACCAAATTGTTTCTAACCTTGCTTCCCGTATTCGTTTCCTTAAAATGACTGATCATGGCTATAATATTTTATTGAATTGGATACAAATAATTGATAGCTTATTGAATTAACATCGTTAGTCAACTTGTGATTATTGAGTTGGATACAAATAATTGATAGCTTATTGAATTAACAACTTTAGTCAACTAACGCACGAGTACACACTATAGTAATTATCAAACAAAAAAATCTTTATTTAAGAGTGTTGGGATAAGTGGGAATAACACTTATTAAATTTCCTCTCGTCTGCTGCATAGAACGGTAGTTTGAACACTGATCAAACTTATTGTCCTTTTATGGTTAAAAGTTTGCTAACAATAAATAAAAATGCTATTAAAAAAAATTGAGACTGAGTAGACATAATATCTGTGTAACAAACTATTTGAGTAGACATAATATCTGTGTAACAAACTATCAGATATCTGCGCATTTAAATCTATTTATCTGTTAACAAACTATTGGTTCATCCTCTAACTAATTTTTTTCTAACAGATTCATAGTGATAGTAGAAGACTGATTCAACAAGTTTTTAATTTACAAAACTGAGACTCATTAACTCTTAAAAAAACAGAAAAAAAAAAGAGTAGCAATGGAGGACGACAGAATATCCCAGTTGCCAATACCTATACTTCACCACATACTATGTTTCATCTCCCAGAAAGAAGCTGTGAGAACTTGTCTACTCTCTAAAAAATGGCGCCACATAGGATTAACCCGCCCCAACCTCGAACTTTTCGAAGAATGGTTCGACGTTGCTGTCATCGACCGAACTCTGCAACGTTGCTGTGATCAAAAGCGCTCCATACTGCACCGCATTCTCTCTCTCCTCCTCTGCAAAGGATCAACTCGCCTCAACCTCGACTCTTCCGAAATATTGTTCAACACTACACAACAAAACTTTGTCTCCGTAGTCAACCGAACCCTACAAGGTTACCTTGATCAGAACCTCTCCATACACAAACTCCATCTTGACTTATACAGCCCCAACTCACGACCTGTCATCTCCCTTCTTGACAAATGGATCCCGATAATAGCCGCCCTCAACATAAAAGCGTTCAAACTCAACTTTTATTCATTTCCTCCGCCATATTACAACCTGCCCTCGGCAGTGTTCTTAGCCGAGTCCATCGAAGAAGTACACCTGTGCAAATGCAGGCTGAGCCCGGTCCAGGGCATGCGGTTTAAAAGTTTGCTCAAGCTCACCCTCGAACGGGTCCAAGTTGATGGCCGCACTTTCGACACGAAAATGTTGGGCTGCCCTTTGCTCAGGTGCCTGGTCCTTTATAGTTGTTGTGAGTTGAGAAACGTTATGGTGAGCGGGGACGCATCGCCTGGGCTCAAGCACTTTGTATTGTCAGATTTCAAGAGGATTGAAGGGCGTAGCATCAAAATTGATGTCCCAAATCTCGAGACAATCTCTATCTATGGCCAATGGATTTGGTATCAATGCCAAAGCGCATTCTTGTTCTCTCGTCTTACGAGTTTGGATCTCGATAGTGTGATCCTGTCGAGCGAGTCGTTCGACCTGTTCTCGTTCGGCTGCCCAACTCTTTCGAGCTTGACCCTACGTAATTGCTCTGGTTTCGACGAATTCCATCTTGCAAGTGATTCGATCAAGTGGTTGAGAATCGCGACACAGACAATACCGCTTAAAGGAGTTACGATTTGTGCCCCGAACATTGACGGTTTTACGTTCAGTGCCCGTATTTCCCAGGTGCCGGACACATTATCTTTCACGACCACTAGTTCCAATGTGTGGCACTCATTTATATTCCTCTCTTCGTATGAGGATGATCCCGATTTCGACGCCAATTCGTGGTTCCTTGAGCTGAGACGATTGCTCAAGGCATTAAGTGGGTCCGTGATTTCTCTGTATATGGAGATGGACGACGGCTCTCAGGATGTCCCCTGTAGTGCTGTTCTCGGTGACGAGCCGCCTGTGGTAGTGCGGAACTTGAATTTTGATACTTGTAAATGTCGCACAACATCTTGGTACTTGGACTTTACGAATGGCTTGTTTCGTGTTTTTCGACCGAGCCGCGTATGGGGTGGTAGGCTTGTAAGAGAGTCGGAAAGGAAGTACTACAGGCTCTCGGAGTTTCAGTTAAACATCTTGCTTGAAAACAAGAACGTAGATTTGGAGGAAGTTTGCATAGATAGGCAGCTCGTGCAGTGGACAGACCTGTCGGAATTGCGAAACAGAAGTTATGACAAGGAAATATGGCTTCTGTTGAAATGGAGATCAGGTCAGACAACACGAAATTAGTACTACGCTCGCTTGCTTTTCTATTTACTACATATATCTCTCTTATTTTTAAGCTTTTCATTGTCGTTGTGAGCTGCTGGTGAATAATTGTCTGAATAGTCTACAAAAAAAGTATATGACAAATGACGGTTTTGAAGATCAATTGGACAATTAAAATAGACAAATGGGTTTTAGAATTTTCAATTGTTATGTGATCATTTGCAACTAGCGAGTTTCACATTCTGTCATGGGTTTTACCATAAAAAAGAAATTATAATAATCCCTCCCCATATATTAATTCAAAACGTGTTGAGCTTATGTGGCGGATTCTCATGTTTTGGATGCTGACATGGCAAAAATCTATGCTTCGTGATGTTGTTTTATTATTATTTTTTTTGCTTTGGAGTTAGGTTTGGTATTAGACATAAATAACTTTACACATATATTCATTTACTCAACACCCATGTTGTACATGGGTATTAGTACTAGTATTAGTCCTAAAGTCGTACCTTGGGTAGCAAATTAATCTGAGGGGAGTAGTAGGCGTTTTGATCAAGTACACAACAAAAACAATGCCGGTGAAAATTTTATTATCAGAAAATCAAGTATAATTACAATAAACCAAATTCCTAATTATTATTTTTTTTTGAAATGATAAATTTATTAACTAAAAACACATAATTACAGTCGACTAACTAGTCGGAATAGTAGGACTACACTAGGCAGCCTAAAATCCACAACACACATCACATAATGAAAAAGAAAAATAAAAAACTCCCCACAGGAGAATCCACAAACTCCTCACACAGGAGAATACACAAATTCTTAATTATTCATTCCTTCACACTGAACAAGTATAAATTGTATTTTATAATGTCGTGCCTCAAAATTGTGTATTGGTAGGCCTATTTCACTAGTTCCCTAAAATTGCCGGATGTCAGTTGATATGTGCACATGCTTATGGCCTCTAAGCGAGCTCGACATTAACGAGTCTGGCTCGAGCCATATTGAGTCGAACTATAAAATATTATTTAAAACTTTTATTTTTGAGTTTTAATGACTCAAGTAGTTTCCAATTAGCTCGAACTCGACCAAAGGTTCATTGCGTTTAACTATTGTGGCCTTGCCCAAACCAATCTCTAATGCAGGCCTAAACTATTTTAATTATACGTAGAAAAACACAAGGGGGGCCTTCCCTGCCCATTTTTCATTGAATGTTTATATGCGTGTTTCAAAATGTTTAAAACAGCCAAATTGTTTCTAACTTTGATTCTTATAATAGTTTCTGGTAGAGTATTACTTGTGAGTTGTCTCACATTGATTATATAGAGAAAATGAGCCTAGAATATAAGTCAAGTGGACTACTCCTCCCATCACCCATTAATTTTTGGGATGGAATCTCACCATGATGCACCTAGACTCACCTTTTTATGGTGCGCTTAATATGCGTAGGACCGCACCATCTCACCCAAATTCTCTAATCTTACATGGTATCTGCCTGAGTTTCTATCTCTACCCGGCTAACTCTGACCAGAGTCTCTATCTCTACTTGGCCTGCTCTGAGCTTGGGCTTATGAAGGACTCACAAGTGAGGGGGCGTGCTGGAGTATCACTTGTGAGTTGTCCCACATTGATTCTATAGGGAAAATGAGCCCAGTATATAAGCAAAGTGGACTAGTCCTCCCATCACCAATTAGTTTTGGGATGAAAGCTCACTATGGTGCATCTAGACTCACCCTCTTATGGTGCGTTTAATGCGTGAGACCGCACCCTCTTGCCCCAATTCTCTAATCTTACAGTTTCCTTAATATCCCCTCTATCCTCCTATATATTAATTTAGAACGTGTTGAGTCTAAATGGCAGGCTCGCATGCTTCGGGGTCCTATGTGTCAAACATACATGCTTCGGTATTATTTTTGGGTAGATTTTTTTTGGTGC